CAGGCGTTCCGCCTGTCCCAGCTCTCCGGCCCCACCAGCCTCCAGGGCACCACACGGTGTAGGTCTGTGCTCCAAAGCAGACCTCAGGGCTGGGTGTTCAGCAGTCGCAGGCTCCACCCCTCCCTGCTCCATTTCTCTTCGTCCTGCAGGTGAGCTGGGGTGGGGGAAGGGCTCCAGTCCCGCTGGATCAAGGCTGTGCTGTGTTACCCTGTTCCGTGAGGTCTCCTCTGTGAGGTCTGTATGCAGTCTCGTGCAGCCTTCTTTCCTGTTGCTCTTTTAGGGCTAGTTGTATTAAGTACATTTCCACACTATATGTGGTTTTGGGAGGAATTCTCTGTCTCACCTCTCATGCCACCATCTTGAATCCTGCTGGAAAGATATATTTAATGCAATGAAACAGAAGGGCTTCGAGCCAAGAATACTCTACCTGGCAAGATTATCACTTAAATTTGAAGCAGACAGTGAATAATTTCCATATAAGCAAAATTTGAGGGCATTTACCTCCCACGAACTGTCTCTACAGTGTATTTTGGAGGGAGTGCTATAGATGGAAGTGCTCCTAAAGCTACAGAGCTGTCACCAGAGAAAATAAAACCACAGTAAAGGAAGTAAACAGTTAATTAACAAGGAAATGCAAAATTAAGTCAACTACTCACAAAGTCAGTCAAGGGATACACAAAGAGTACAGAATATGACACCTAATATATAAACAGTGGAAAAGGAAGAAAAAGAAGGGAGGAAAAGATAAAAAAGAACCTTTAGTTTGTGTTTGAAATAGAGTAATAAGTGAGTTAAATTAGACTGTTAGATAGTAAAGAAGCTGCCCTTGAACCTTTGATAACCACAAATCTAAAGCTGACAATGACAATAAGTACATATCTATTGATAATCACCTAAATGTAAATGGTCTGAATGCACCAAACAAAGGACACAGAATTACAGAATGAATAAAAAACAAGACCCATCTATATGCTGCCTACAAGAGATGCACTTCAAATCCAAAGACATGCACAGACTAAAAGTGAAGGGATGGAAAAAGATATTTCACGCAAATAATAGGGAGAAAAAAGAAGGAGTTGCAGTAGTTGGACAAAATAGACTTCAAAACAAAGAAAGTCACAAGAGATAAAGAAGGACATATAATGATAAAGGGCTCAGTCCAACAAGAGGACATAACCATTATAAATATCTATGCACCCAACACAGGAGCACCAGCATATGTGAAACAAATACTAACAGAATTAAAGGGGGATTTAGACTGCAATGCATTCATTCTAGGAGACTTCAACACACCACTCACCCCAAAGGACAGATCCACCGGGCAGAAAATAAGTAAGGACACAGAGGCACTGAACAACATATTAGAGCAGATGGACCTAACAGACATCTATAGAACTCTACATCCAAAAGCAACAGGATACACATTCTTCTCAAGTGCACATGGAACATTCTCCAGAATAGACCACATACTAGCTCACAAAAAGAGCCTCAGTAAATTCCAAAATATTGAAATTCTACCAACCAATTTTTCAGACCACAAAGGTATAAAAGTAGAAATAAATTCTACAGAGAAAACAAAAAGGCTCACAAACACATGGAGGCTTAACAACATGCTCCTAAATAATCAATGGATCGATGACTAAAGAAAAACAGAAATCAAGGAATATATGGAGACAAATAAACAACTCAACACTGCAAACTCTGTGGGACACAGCAAAGGCCGTGCTAAGAGGGAAGGAGACTGCAATACAGGCCCAGCTCAGGAGAGAAGAACAATCCCAAATGAACTGTCTAAACTCACAATTAATGAAACCAGAAAAAGGATAAATGAGGCCCAAAGTCAGTAGTAGGAGGGACATAATAAAGATCAGAGCAGAAATAAATAAAATTGAGAATAAAACAATTGAATCAATGAAACAGAAGCTGGCTCCTTGAGAAAATAGACTAACACATATAAAAAGATTCGGAAATGAAAAAGGAAAAATCACTATAGACACCACAGAAATACAAAGAATTATTAGAGAATACCATGAAAAATTACATGCTAACAAACTGGATAACCTAGAAGAAATGGATAACTTTCTAGAAAAATAAAACCTTCTAAGACTGACCCAGCAAGAAATAGAAAATCTGAATAGACCAATAACCAGCAAGGAAATTGACTTGGTAATCAAAAAAATTACCTAAGAACAAAATGCCTGTCCAGATGGCTTCACCACCGAATTTTATCAAACACTTAGAGAAGACCTAATACCCATCCTCCTTAAAGTTTTCCAAAAATGTAGAAAAGAAGGGAAAACTTCCTAACTCATTCCATGAGGCCAGCATCACTCTAATACCAAAACCAGGCAAAGACACCACAAAAAAAGAAAATTACAGACCAATATCCCTGATGAACATAGATGCAAAAATTCTCAGCAAAATATTAGCAAACCAAATTAAAAAATACATCAAAAAGATCATTCATCATGACCAAGTAGGATTTTTCCAGGGATGCAAGGATGGTACAATATCGAAAAATCCATCAACATTATACATCACATCAACAAAAAGGAAAAAATCACATGATCATCTCCATAGATGCTGAAAAAGCATTTGACAAAATTCATCATCCATTCATGATAAAAACTCTCAACAAAATGGGTATAGACGGCAAGTACCTCAACAGAATAAAGGCCATATATGACAAGCCCACAGCCAACATCATACTTAACAGCAAAAAGCTGAAAGCTTTTCCTCTGAGATCAGGAACAAGACAGGGATGCCCACTCCCCCCACTTTTATTCAACACAGTACTGGAGGTCCCGGCCACAGCAGTCAGAGAACGCAAAGAAATTAAAGGCATCCAGATTGGCAAGGAAGAAGTTAAACTGTCACTGTTTGCAGATGACATCAGGTTGTACATAAAAAACCCTAAAGAATCCACTCCAAAACTACTAGAATAACTGAATTCAGCAAAGTTGCAAGATGCAAAATTAATACACAGAAATCTGTGGCATTCCTATATACTAAATATAAACTAGAAAAGAGAGAAATCAGGAAAGAAATTCCATTTACAATTGCATCAAAAAGAATAAAGGTCCTAGGAATCAACCTAAGTAAGGAGGTGAAAGACCTATACTCTGAAAACTACAAGACACTCATGAGAGAAATTTAAAAAGACACCAATAAATGGAAACACATCCCATGCTCATGGGTAGGACGAATTAATATTGTCACAATGGCTATCCTGTCTAAAGCAATCTACTGATTCAATGCAATCCCTATCAAAATACCAATAGCATTCTTCAAGGAACTAGAACAAATAGTTCTAAAATTCATATGGAAGCACAAAATACCCTGAACACCCAAAGCAATTGTGAGAAGGAGGAATAAAGCAGGGGGCATTACGCTCCCCAACTTCAAGCTCTACTACAAAGCCACAGTAATCAAGACAATTTGGTACTGGCACAAGAACAGAGCCACAGACCAATGGAACAGACTAGAGACCCCAGATATAAACCCAAACATATACGGTCAATTAGTATAAAGGATAAATGATTCATGGACATACTCTGGGGAAATGACAGCCTCTTCAACAGCTGGTGTTGGCAAAACCGGACAGCTACATGCAAGAGAATGAAACTGGATCACTGTCTAACTCCATACACAAAAGTAAACTCAAAATAGATCACAGACCTGAATGTAAGTCATGAAACCATAAAACTCTCAGAAGAAAACATAGGCAAAAATCTCTTGGACATAAACATGAGCAACTTTTTCCTGAACACATCTCCTCAGGCAAGGGAAACAAAAGCAAAAATGAACACATGGGACTACATCAAACTAAAAAGCTTCTGTATGGCAAAGGACACCATCAACAGAACAAAAAGGCATCCTACAGTGTGGGAGAATATATCTGTAAATGACAGATCCGATAAGGGGTTAGCATCCAAAATATATAAAGAACTCACATGCCTCAACACCAAAAAACAAATAACCCAATTAAAAAATGGGCAGAGGAGCTGAACAGACACTTCTCCAAAGAAATTCAGATGGCCAGCAGGCACATGAAAAGATGCTGCACATCGCTAATTATCAGGGAAATGCAAATTAAAAGCACAGTGAGATACCACCTCACACCAGTTAAGATGGCCAACACCCAAAAGACAAGAAACAACAAATGCTGGTGAGATGCAGAGAAAGGGGAACCCTCCTAGACTGCTGGTGGGAATGTAAATTAGTTCAACCACTGTGAAAAGCAGTATGGAGGTTTTCCTTAAAAAAACGAAAAATAGAAACACCATTTGATGCAGGAATTCCACTCCCAGGACTTTACCCAAAGAAAACAAGATCCCAGATTCATAAAGACATATGCAACCCTGTTTATTGCAGCACTATTTACAATAGCCAAGAAATGGAAGCAACCTACGTGTCCATCAGTAGATGAATGGATAAAGAAGATGTGGTACATACACACGATGGAATATTATTCAGCCATAAGAAAGAAACAAATCCTACCATTTGCAACAACATGGATGGAGCTGGAGGGTATTATGCTCAGTGAAATAAGCCAGACAGAGGAAGACAAATACCAAATGATTTCTCTCATTTGTGGAGCATAAGAACAAAGCAAAAATGAAGGAACAAAACAGCAGCAGACTCAGACTCCAGGAAGGGACTAGCGGTTACCAAACGGGAGGGGTGATGGAGGGTGAGTGGGGAGGGAGGGAGAAAGGGATTGGGGGGGTATTCCAATTGGCACACACGGTGTGGGGGAGTCACGAGGAAGGCAAGCAGTGACTCTGTGGCATCTTACTACGCTGATGGACAGTGACTGCAATGGGGTGTTTGGCGGGGACTCAATATGGGTGAATGTTGCAACCACAAAGTTGCTCATGTGGAACCTTTATAACATTGTATATCAATAATACCGTAATAAAAAATAACATAGAATAAGTAAATAAATAGAAGAGCGCCAGAAGCCAGAAGGTAGGTGCCAGCCAGGGACCTGGGCCCACCTCGTCGTCGTGCACCAGCTCCTTCTTCACCACCTTCATGGCGTAGACCTGGTCGTTCTTCTTCAGCCGCACCAGGAGGACCTTGGCGTAGCTCCCACGCCCGATGACCCTGATCAGGTCGAAGTCCTGCAGCCCGAGCCCCTGAGATATTTTGATTCCATCCATCCCATCAATGACTGGCTTGAGGTCCTGGGAGGGGACAAGGTCCGGAGAATTACATGCCATCTGCGCCAATCCCGACGCCGGCCAGTGAGCCCCCGAGTTCAGAGTCCTGCTCCACCACAGGTCCTGATCCTGTGTCCTGACGCCCATTCCAGACCCCCACTAGTGAGGAGGAGCAACCGCGGGCTGGAGATGGGGCAGCTGTTGAAGCAAGGTGCTGGAAGCCCAAAGACAGGTTTCTGCAGATCGGGGCCCAGGCCACCGGCCGCAGGTGAGTGACCCTTCCGTGAGCAACGAGGGAGGCCAGGGGTCTGCCTCCCAGGTGGCCTGATGACTGACCAGAGCCCACACCCTGGGGCCACTGGGGCTGTGCGTTGGCGGGGGGCAGGCATCAAGCATAACCAGGTGATGTCCGCGAACACCCGCACAAGCCCAGAGCGTGCATTATCAGAAATACGTAATGAAGAGAAAGAAACACAGCAGCTCTTCCCTCCTGCAGACTATTTGATGCAGGGGTACTTGTGGGGGTAACTAAGTGCTCCGGACTCATTCCAGACACAGAATGGCCAAGCAGAGAAACCCGGAAGCCCAAGGGCAGTGTCCGCGGGTCGCTCTGCGAGGTGGCACTGTCCATGCACGGGGGCTGCGGACAGCAGCTGTGGGATCCTGCTCCTCATTCACAGGCCCAGTCTGATGGTGCCTCGTCTGTCACCCAGAGCTGGCCAGAGACATGAGGCCCAACCGCACCTCTTGGCCCAAATCTGGAGGAGGAACGCAAAGGGCAGCAGAGGGCTCGCCAGGCCAGGAGGACCAGATGTACTCATCCAGCCCGCATGCCTGCTCTGGCACAGAGCCCCTCAAACCCTTGGAGTCTCCTGAGTAGGAAAAGGGTAAAGGCATCTTTTCTATGTCAATGAGCGACTTTTGGGAATCCCTTCATCCTCCTAAGTAGGGGGGCTGGCTCCAGGGGGTCTAATCAGGTGACTGGAGCCCGGGAACTGTCAGCTCGCCTTTCCTCAAAGTACACATGGTGGTGGCGTGAGCTCCCTGTACTGATGTGCACAGCCACACCGAGGATGTGAACCGAGGAAAGCGTCCATGAGCCGAGCATGGCTCCAGGTGCTCACACGCTCTCTGTTCACCGTCACAAAACACTGCCATCATTATCCCAACTTGACAGAAGAGGATCCTGAGGTCACAAAGGTCTCCCGCCCTGGCTGAGACCAGGCCTGCTGCCTGCGCGCAGTCAGCCAGCAACAGCCACATGCCGCCCCATTCTGCATCGCTGTAAGAATTGTACAAGCACCGTACCCTCGCCTCTGAGGTCTGGCAGGGCTAACGGTCTGTATGCTCACCTAGCCGTTCAGATTACTTTTGGGCTGAGGATATGAAAGACTCCATGGGACTTTCTCCCTAAATGCATCGCCATGTCCACAAGACTATGCCCTCCTTTAAGATGAGCGATAGCTCCCAAATATGTCTAGTTCATATTTAAATTTCCATAACTGCCCCAGAAATGAGCTAATAAACTTCTTAAAAGGACACTGGAAATGCCACTGAGCCATCTGATACACTCACCTCAGAATCATCTTTAATGCTGTCATGTTTTCGGGTTGAAGAAATATAATCAACTAGTGGAGAGAAAAAGAAAACAAGGGCGTTACATGTGTTGTCAGGGATGTGGCCCTGGGCACCGAGACTCCCAGGGACCTTCACTGCTCTGCAGACATGTGGCGGCCCAGGCCAGCAGGGCTCTGCTCAGGGTGAATGCATGGAGTGGCCAGATGCAACTCAATGTGAGTCCTAAGGAAATGCAGCTCCCTGGGCCCCACCCAGACCTGCAGCCCGAGATATGCGGGTGGGGCCTGGGAATCCGCATTTGTGACAGGTTTCCCCAGTGATTCACTGAGGAGCGACTAGTCATAAGGTTTTGGTGTCTAGCCTTCCAGTCTTTGCTCGTAGAGTATGTGGATGGACAGATGGATGGACGGGTGGGCCCTCATTTGTTGGGGTCTCTTGTATTAGGCGCTATACTGCTTCATGCTCCACAGTCTCACTTCGCGGCTCCCAGGGAATGGAACTCACACTTATCAAGCCTGCTGCGGCTTTCCCACACCCTTGTGATAGCTCGTAGGCTTTGCAAGCTCAGAGCTGGGCCTAGGCCCAACTGGTATTCAGGATCTCTCTGAAAGCTCCCTTGCATTACAGAGCCTCTCCCACCCCTCCAAAAAAAATCCCGTGAAAACCAAGAGCCGCACACCAGCGTGCCGTGTGCACAGTGGCCACCCAGAGGGCCTTTCCACGGGGTAGGGGGTCATCAGTCTGCACAGCAGCCGACTGTGGGAGATGCCTGGCTGTGTTGGCCACACACTAAATGCCTCCTAGAAATCCCGAAGTTGGCACAGAGGGGAAGTGCCCACCCTGGACTCCCACAGCAGCAACTCACGGAGACGGGGCAGCCAGGGATGGCCACCCACCCCACCTGGGGCCAAGGGAAGGCCCAGACAGCACCCCAGCCCGAGGGAGGCGGCTGTGCTGGCCAGGATTGACCGCTGGAGAGCAGAGGGGATCTAGAAGGGATTCACAGTCAGACGGGGGAGGCAGGCAGGCAGGCAGGCATGCCAGGGCAGGAGGGCCTGGGCTGTGCCCATGGGAAGAAAGCAGCCCCTACTTCCATCGGCCTCCTCCGAAGGAAGGTCCACATCGTCGTCCTTGTCATCTACTGCAGGCTCTTGGGAAGGCATGACCGAATCCTGCCGAGACACAGGGCGTACAGCATGACTGGGCACGCGTTACAATGCAGCTTCTGGAGGCACCGCGAGGTCTTACACTCACTGCGACACACCCCCTAATACCAACCGTACAATCACAGCCACCACCAGCAGCCAGGGCGCCTGTGAACCCACAGGCACGGCGACGGCTCAGCACCCCAGGGCACGACCTTCTGGCAGGTGTGTCACAAAATGAGGTGTTTTTACATAATTCTTGGTCATCTCCCCCCACAGCAGCCAGGCAATGCAAGTCCCCTGCCGGCTCTCGGGGTCCCCCGTGGCTGGGGGTGTGACTGCGGCAGCTCTTGGTGGCAGACACCTAGGCTCCGGGCACTGGTGTCCCTCAGCCCCGACTGCCTGCATCTTTGGGGCCCGGCCTCATTTCTCAGGCTGACATGGACCTCTGGGGCCTTTACTGTTTGGGCAGCCACGCTGAAAGGACCTCCAGGCGGACAGTGAGCCCGCCCACCCATCCACAGAGGACCTCAGGTCCCAGGGCTCTGGCAAGATGGGCGAGGCCGGATTGGGGCTCTGCCCTTGTCCCGTATGCGGCGCACGGCGCATTGCCCTGAGATACACCTTTCCTGCTCACACCGCGAAGGATGCAGTGGCCAGCCCTCTGGACACGTGGCCACTGTGCCCACGAGCACAGCCCAGGCTGGAAGCTCAGTGAGGGAGCCTGTCAACACTGCGCAGAGGGGCCGGATGCTCTGAGTCCACAAGCGTGGGCAGGTGGGGAGGGGCACACAGCAGGGGTCTGGTCCTCTGACTTCCACAGCAACACAGGGCATGAGCCTCTGTACTTCCCCAGAACTGTGGCAGCCTGGGCAGCCCTGCCCGGCCCCCAGGCAGACCTCCCCTGCTTTGCAAGACCCCATATCCTTTCGCTGTACTGGCCACAGTACGCTCTCTGCGGACGACCTCCAGCCCAGAGCAGCATGGTGTCCTGAGGGCCCCCAAGAGCACTGGGGCTCGAGGGGCTGGGGCAGAGGGGTCCTGTTCCAGACCACCACCTGGGTCACCACTCAGCTGCCCACGGACCCCCGGGTGGTGGCAGGACCCACCCAGACAGAGGGAGACTGTAGGTACCAAGTTGGCATGGACAGCAGGCTAGAGGGTGCCCCCCACCCACGCCCCAGGCCCTGCTGAGCCCATACTCACCATACGCCTTTTGCAGGTCAGTGGGACGAGGACGTGGCAGCGCTTATGGACCAGCAGTTTGCAGTTGATGCACCTGTAGCCCTGCTTTGCGAGACCCCATATCCTTTCGCTGCACTGGCCACAGTAGGCTCTCTGCGGACGAGAAGAGCAGCTGTCAAGCCCGGGCCTGGGGGACCTCCAGAGCCTGTGCTGCATTGGGGGGACCCGGCTAAGCACTGGAGCTCAATGCACCTTCACTGATGTCCTCAAAAGGTAACAGCTGGAGCAAGAGGTGGTCCCTGCTGAGTCCAGCAGCCCCCAGTCTGTGTGAGGGGATAAGGGGAGGCCCTACCAGGCACAGGTGACAAGACCCCTACATGGGCATGGTCCCCCTTGTTCGCAGGGCTGCGGGGTGCCACAGCACCCGACAGGCTGTGCGCAGGACGGCCGTGGGGTCCCGTGGGGCGTGTGTAGCCCAGGCTGAGAGGAGCGTCAGGGGAAGCCCGTAGCCCAACCCTCACCCAGACATCGGCCCAGATGCTGGCCACGGAGCAGAGGGCCTGCCCAGCACTCTGACCTGTCACAATTTTCACATGCTAGAGGTAGTTTGCAATTATTTTGGGGTTTTTTTTCAGTATTTTTAAATATTTTAAGTGGTCAGTTTTGTTCTTCATGGCTCTAAACATTTGAAATTAAGGATAGTTATTAGCTTGTTTGGTTTTCCTAAGTTTTGAAAGTCACAGATTGTACGAAGACGGAAGCGCTCAGCAGGCTGCTCGCAGTGAGCGGTACCTCTGGTCATGTGGCGTCTTTGTGATGCAGCAGACACCAGGGCCTGTCATCGCTTTTTCTGGACCATCTATGTGTCCCTGCCTCTTTTGCCATTTTTAGCAAATTTTCTTTCTTTTGACAGAGCCTCAAATTCCTGCTGAAAAATATAAAACAGAGCCCATGTGAACTGAGCTCTTGCAGGAAAATGGTGAAGCCCTTCCGTGCGGGCACATGGTCATGCCTGTGGGTCCAGGAGGCCCTGAGCAACCAGGTTCTCACCAGGAAGGAGCTGCGCTTGGAAACCGGGGCCTGAGGGGGCTCGCACACCTTGGTTGCGGCAGGATGGCTGGGCAGTCCCCAACACACAGTGGGTGTCCAATAAATGTTTGCTCAGGGCAAGTAAACACACACACACACACACACACACACATTTTTAACTTTTAACTTTGCTAACAGGAGAAAGAATTTGTTCCAGGTCATCCCCATTACCTGAACTGTCCCTCCCGCAAGGAGCCACTTGGGTCATGGGGTGCCACCGGGAAGGGCCTAAAGCAGAGTGGGGAGCAGCAAGGGCCAGATGGGGGTACCTCCCCAAGACCTCTGACTCTGGCCAAGCTAGTTTAATACCCACACTGGTATTTCCACCCAAGTGGGGCTAGATGAACGCTAGACTCAGAATTCAAAGGACCTTCAGCTTTTTATTTTTATGCCTTTATTGGAATAAAGTCGATACGTAACACCGGTTTCAGATGTACAACATAGGGACTCGATAACCACACACACTATTACATGCCTGCCGTGGTAAATGTGGTGCCCTGTCACGCCAAGGCGCAACAATACCATCAGTCACGTTCTCTATGTCGTTCTTCTATTCCTACGACCAGCTTGTTTCTGCAGTTTGGACCTTTTATCCCCTTCACCTATTTCATTCATTCCTCCACCCCTTTCCTTATGGTAACCAATAGTTTGCTGTCCATAGTTATGGGTCTGTTTCTTTTTTGTTTGTTTTGTTTCTTAAGATTTTACATGTAAGTGAAATCACATGGTATTTGCCTTTCTACACCTGACTTACTTCACCGAGCATACTACCCTCCAAATCCATCCATGTTGTTGCAAATGGCAAGGTTTCCTTCTTTTTTTATGGCTGAATAATATTCCATTATGCATCTGTGCTACCCTCTGTTATCCATTTCTCAATGGGCACTTGGGTTGGTTCCATATCTCTGTTGTTGTAAATAACGCAGCAATGAACATAGGTGTGCATTTGAGGACCTTCAACTTTGAAAATGAGTTTTCACCTTCTCGTGCATGCCCAGCCTTGTCAAACACCAGTTACCATTTACAAAACCATTAAAAAAAATTCATGTTTCCTACATACCAAGCTGTCCAAGTTTCGCTTTCCCTAAGTCACCACCCCACACCGTAATCTGCAACACCCGGACCATACGGGCAAAGCCCCAGCCACCTGGCACTTTTACAAGCTAACAGAAACTCCGTGCGCAGATGCTCTTACCAGGTGCCAGGCTGGCTGCCGAGCGGCGGCAGTGTGAGCCGGCCGGGTGTGGGCACCACCCACCGGGAGTCCACCTGCCACCACCCCACCAAAGGCTCCTCATCAAAAACCTACATTTGAATTGTTAACATTTCAGTAAAACAAAACCTAAACCCCAAGCATCTAGTCTCAGAAATTCACATGAATAAATAAATAAATGGGGTAAAGGCATGTTTGGGTCTCCTGTATGTGGCCAAACTGGGTCCTTGCTCCTGTTTCCAATCATTCATTTTACTTTCTAATCACCCTCAACACACCCAGTCCAGGCCTCTGCTGCTCCTGCTGGGGCCACCCTGCCTCCCACCGTGAGCTCAGGTGTGCTGCTCGCGTACCCGGTGGGGTGGGGGGGGCCCTGCCCTGGGCTGACGATAAAGTGCCCACCGGCCACCTGCGGGGGCTGCTGGGCTGGGTGGCTCGGGTGCGAGCGTGGGCCCAGCCAGAGGCTCCAAATCTCCAGGAGGTGCTTGTCCCTCCTCTTCACACAGGTGTGCACCTGGTGGGGGGCCTCGTTCCTCCTCCATCCTCCGAATCCTGCCTCAGGCCACTGTGGGCCGCGGGGTGGAGGGCGGGCCCTAAACCCACCCCGTCACAGCCTCGCTGGGACTCCTCCTCTGCTCCAGGCTGGGGGCTGAATGTGGCCACGGCCTGTTTCTATAACTCAAGTTTGCTGGAACACTGCCTCGTGTCACCTGTTACCTGCGGCTGCAGCAGAGACCTCGTGGCCCACAGAGTCTAAAATGTTAACTCTCTGGCCCTTTACAGGGAGCTCATGCTTGTCCCCTGTTCCAGCTGCTTGGGCCAAGAAGTTTGGGAGGAATGCCTGACTGGCAGTGCCACCCCTGGGCAGCGTCCTCAGAACTGCCTCCCGGACCCCCAGGGACCCAAGTGTGCAGTCGCTCCTTGTCCGCCTATCATAAAGGGGTGACCGCTCCCTCCACGGGCCCTGCAGCATGAGAGGCCTGGGTGCCACCAGGAGGCGCCTCGCAACCCCAGGCCAGGTGGGGTCGTTCATTACACAGTGAAGGACTGAGTTCAGATACTGTCCCCACGTTTACTTGTTTAATAGCACCGAGCTGCTGTTCCATACGCAAAGCTCTGAATGACTGATTTCTTTGGGACAGACATGTGGGGGGGCTCAGGACGGAGCACCTCAGAGCCCCTGACCAGGCATTTCCCAATTGCTCTCCAGGAGGCAGGGCCCATGTCTACATCCCCAGGGAGTGGGCAGTGCCCGTCGCCATGCACGGGAACACGGAGCCCTGAGGCTCTGCAAGTCCCCGACGCAGACAGGGAGAATGTCCTGCATCTGCCTGACCACCAGTGACGCCGATGCTGCCGACCTGTGAACGATCACAGCTCTTACTCGGTTCCCTGTCATGTCCTCGTCCACCTTCAGGCTCTCAGCGTTTACTGAACAACCGGCTCGGGGATATCCTCATACTCGGCACGCACCCTGTTCTGCTCTCTTACTGTAGGTTTTATCTGCTACATTTTCCCTGCATGTTTTCTGCATTTCATTTGTGCGGAAACCCCAGAAGCCTGATTTGTCTGTGGGCCAAGTCTGAAGGCCCACTCCTCTCGGTTTCTGTGTGTTCAGCAGCAAGACAGGGCCCATCCTGTCCCCCTGGGGGCTCACCACCAAACCCATGGGAGCCAGCCCCAAAGTGGGACAAGGTCTGAGCGCTGCCCGGCTCTGCCCACTGGCTGAGCAGCGCCTGGTGCTCACTGTCCTCCATGGCTTCTGGCCCTGTGATGCCCAGCCTCCCCGAGGCACCAGACATTCTGCAGACCCCTGGTCCTCCCTCTATCCTTCCTGGTCCCCAACGCAGTGCCCCAGGTCTGCCTGCTGATTTTCTCCCAGTCATTACCTATAATAAACGACAAGCCTGAGCTTAGTGTGTACCCACTATGTGCCAGGAGTGGGCCAAGGCCTGAGCAGGCAGAGGCCCTGTGCCCCAAGCAGGACGCCCAGTCGGAGACACCCACACAGCTGTGAGGGACATCAGCGGTACATATGAGGGGTGGGCACAGAGAAGGGGCTGCCAGGTGGACATTTGGGTCAAGACAGAAAGCGAGGGGGTGTGGGCTCTGAGGATGCACAGTGCTCAGCATGTGCAAAGGCCCTCAGGCAAGCTGCGTGGCTGCCCTCGCTGGGGGAATGGGGCCCCCAAGTTCATGCCCACCCTGACCTCAGACTGTGACCTTACTTGGGAAAGAATCTTGGTAGATGTGCTTGGTCAAGTTGAAACAAAGCCACTCATGGCTGGTGTCCTTACAAGAGAGATGCCACAGGGAAGCCAGAGGCCAGAGCAGAGCAGGAGAGCTGCAGCCCCATCCTGCGCCCCAGCAACCCCCAGAAGCTGGAGAGACGCTGGGACAGGCCCTTCCCAGAGCCAAGGAGGGGGCACTGCCCTGTGGCGCCGGCTGTGGACCCCAGCCTCCAGGAGGCAAGAATGGCCTTGTGCTCTGCTCCCACAGCCCTAGGGCGCCCTGGTCCCTGGCCACTGAGCCACCTCCCCTACTCTTGTGTAACGGAGCAACTACAAAGAATATAAAAGAACCATCGAGAGAAACCATGGAAATGAGCTGCAGTGCCCCCTGGAACAGGCCGGGCAGCGGGCACACAGGAGACCCTTGCAGCCACCAGGGAATGCTGTGTGCAGTACGCATGCTTCAGCAGTCAGCCACCACCCCCGCCCCCTCTTCTGATCGCAAGCTGGCCTGGGCCTCCAAGGGGCCCGGGACACACACACTGCAGCCGGCATCCATGGAAAGGGGAGCCCCCATTGGCTAGGAAGCCTGAACAGGCTCTCGGTCGCCAGGGACAGCG